TTTTATATCTGTTGGAACTGATAAATTAAAACGAAAAACAATCCGACTACACCTGTACTGTAATGTACAGCAAAGCATAAAAGGATTTCTATTTACTGAAGTCATAGTTCATATTTAAATCCCATTCTCACCAAAGTAGCTTGATAACTAAATGAAAATTACCACAAAACATTTTAATTCCCCCGTTAGTACGTATGTATCTTATGTTTTCTTTATCCCCCATTTATACTTGGTCTCTTGCATGAGAAGAACAACACAAACACCATATTGACTTTACAATACATGGTACCCTAAAAGAGCCTAGAGATGCCAAAGGGAAGGCAACGTGAAGAACAGCTATGCAAGTGACTCCACCCACTAGTCCCATTGGCCACCCAGTCAGACAGCAACTGCACCAGGCAGGGTATATATACATAGGATTTCCTGGGCTCCTCAGGAATCAGATCCCTGATGAGAACGACCAAGACAGTACTCAAAATATTGGTTTTTTGTGACCACCTAATGTGGCTGATTGCATAAGAAGACTACACTGTACTATATAACAGACCTTAGTAAAATAAGGCATGAAAGTGTGGAATCGATTCAAATTGCTTAGAATAGAATCCAATGGCAGGCTTTTGTAAAGACTACTAAATTTTCAAAACTGTGAAAAGCTACGGAATTCTTTGTTAACTGGGTAATCATCAATTTTTCAAGAAATACATTGTACCATGTAATCAGTTCACTGTAAACCTTTTTCTACAATCTGGATTGTTGGGTTTTGTGGACCATGTCCATTTGATGATGTTCTGAGAACAGGATCTGTCCTCATCTTCAGGTGTAGTGAAGAGAGCACCTACTCTATGTGATTTGTCAGAATGTGCTAATCCAAATCAATGGATGAGGACAAGGACAGATCCAGTTCTTGAAATGTTGTATGTTTTATAACATCAAATAATTGGACAAGGTCCAAAAACCCAACAAACCAGATTGTATTACACCAACATCAGAACCCTTCAGCATCAGATTTTCTGTAATGTTCTTTACAAAATGTCCAGGAACATATTTTTCTGATGCGTGCTTCAAATTGTTTTTGTGATATGCGTTCTATGATTCCTCAGGTGATTTTTTAGGTATCGCTCCTGCAAAAATTGTTTTCCACATATTGTACAATAGAATGTCTGAGTATTAGTATGTATGAGTTCATGGTTTTTCAGTTCATGTGTTGTTCGAAAACACTTTCCACAGAACTGGCAGGCATACGGTTTCTCACCTGTATGTATCATTATGTGTGATTTTAGGCTTGGACGTGTCTTGAATCTTTTATCACAATGAGGACACTGAAAATCGCCAATAGCTTTGTGAAATCTATTATGCATTTTGAGGCAAGCCTTGGTTTTATATGTCTTCCCACAAACATGGCACATGAAAGCTCGTTCTTCAAAATGGATAAATCTGTGTTCAGCTCTTGCACTACTGCTGGAAAACTTTTTCTCACATATATCACATGGATATTTCTTAATGCCCTCATGTACATCCTTGACATGGCGACTGAGCAATGTCTGAATACGAAACTTCTTCCCGCACTGAGGGCAAGGATATGGTTTCTCGCCTGTATGTATACGAATGTGGCGGACATAATTGTACCTTGTAATTATGTGTTGCCTACAAAAGCTGCAATAATACAACGTTCTACCATTCACTTCAACCTTAGCACGAGATATTTCCTCTTCACTTAATGGTATCAGATTGTATTTAGAAAACTCTTCATAGGCTTTATTGCGTTTTGTTTTAATTCTCTCTTCATCCTCACATTTTTCTTGTGTGGCATCTCTAACATCATGCATCTTTTGATGTCGCTTAACATCATATTTCCTTGTGAATGACTTCCCACAAACATCACAAGGAAACTTTCCCTGAGAATCCTGATTTTTTGCAGTATCAGTGTCACCACATTGATGATCATTAAAAAAACCCATCTCAGACTCATGTTTATTCCAGTCACCTTTGACGTTAGCAACATTTAAATCAGAACTTAACCCAGAACAATTTACAGATGATATGTGCTGGAAAATAAAAGCACTTTTTGACTGCAAAAGGCCATGTACAATTCTCATGTGGAAAATAAAAGCACTTTTTGACTGCATGAGGCCATGTACAATTCTCATATGTCTCTTCAAGTCATATTTTCTTGAAAGCAATCGACCACAATACTTGCATTTACAGCCTACTTTCATAGAGACATCTAAACTTACATTTGTTGACATATGGTTTTTGTTATGCTCTCTTAAGCTTCCCTTAGATTTAAAGGTCTTGGAGCATTCAGTACAAGCATACAGCTTATGAGTTTCATGAACTTCCATATGTCTTTTCAAGTCAAAATTCCTTGTGAATATTTTCCCACATACATCACACGTGAATTCCTTCTTTGATGAATTAATTCTTAAATACTTAGATCTTTTTATTTCTTTACTAATTCTACCTGTAGATTCTTGACTGTCTGTGCTTTTAGCAATACTGGTATCTACACAGTCTGTCCACAAACTTACCGATTTACTTTCTTTAAGAACTTTGTGGCCTCTCATGTGCTCAGAAAATAGCCCTTTGCACTGATATACTTCATTGCATTCCATGCAATGCAGCCTGTCATTTGAGTGAACTGAATATATATGCGTGTCTAGTTCTGACTTATGGGAAAAGCAAATACCACAATAAAAACACACAGCATCACTCTTACGCAAGTTAACATCATGTCCTTTCAAGTGTTCCAGAAAATCATCTTTTATAACAAAAGTTTTATCACACAGACTACAATTCAAAACACACACAGTTGAAACTGCAAGATGGTGCAATTTTAGATCACATTTCTGGGGGAAGGACAAGCCACAGAAACAACATTTGATCTGCAAGTCATTATCAGACTTAATACTGACAAAATGATAATGCTGAGAAAGACATTTATCTTCATCTGTAAATGTTATTCTTGATGAATCTGGTGTGTGTTGCAATGTTGATGATGATGTCGAAGGAGAAAGTTGATACCTGCAAGATAAATTGCGCAGAATAATTACTTCTGCTGTTCCAAATTGTGTTCAGAGTCCGCCTTTTATTACTGCCAAACATATTTAAACAACATTTATGCAACTACCTGTGAACTAAATGAAAAAGATGACTGACTGTCTTCTGGGTTGTTCTGCCATGTAGTCTGGTAGAAGATTACCAATTTTCAAAGGTGCTTGATGCCTCTGAAACATTGGTAAAAATCTACCAGACTATAGAGCGCAACACCATAGCAGACAGTCATCTTCATACGTATATGCCACCTCAGATCTGAGCTGAGAAATACCAAAACTTGGTTATAAAAGTGTATGCTCTCAGAGCAGCACATTACTAATAACAGATAGAGGGTTCATCACATTTGAATCATATCTCTATGAAATGGAAGCACCAAACAGTAATTTCATATAGCAATTTACTCAACACCCACAAGACTTAACTCATTTATCTACATCATCTTATGCCTCCTTGGCTATTAAAGGAGTTACAAACATCTCTCCATCTGTTTACTCCTGTTCACATTAGGTCAGTTTTATTTTGGATTTTATAACAGTCAGAATACCTCAGACTCAAAATCACTTTATTGAAATATTTTGTTACGTAGGTACTTTGTGTTTTCAAAATAGCATCTGAACTTCAACAAGGGCGCATGATGGGTAGTTTTGCTGCCAATGTGACATGAACTGAAACTATATGACTTGTTCAACGGTAAATGCTCACCAATCAGTCTACAGCAGTAACTGCTACATCAGAACAAATAGTGTTTTTTTTTTATAGTTTTTGGCTACTTACTTACATGTAAATTTCACATTCTGTTTATGTATATTCACTTGCAGCTCAAGAGAGGATAAACCAATTTGTCCGACTTGGAACGCTCATGTCTTTAAAGAAGGAAGAGAATTCAGAAAGCTAACAACTCTGAATAAGTGTCCTGGGTTTGAATACAGTTGAGGGTGGTTTCTGAAGCTTGGACACTAAGCACTACAGTACAGCACCATGACTAAAGTTGCTTGTTCCAGGAAGAAAGATCATAAACCCAAAAACTCTCAAAGGTTTGAACCCTGATGGCTGAAGAGAATAGATAAGACAACAGTTTGTTTTGGCAATGAGATTACAGGAAGACCACAACCTTGAAAAAAGCGTGTTTGAGTTTTAGTGATGATAATTTTTCTGTTCATAGAAAACTCATGTGACAGACAACTGTTTGATGTCAAAACCTTATTTGTTCCCAAAATATCACTAATATAATACAGTTTAAATACCTGTTTGAGTTAAAATGTATCCATTTAACCCATGCTTTGCCATGATAATCAGTAAAGTTCAAGGTTAAGTCTTTAAAAAAGACGCAGGCACTGATTTTAAGAGAGGAGGTTCCATGGTTTCAAGCGAATTTAATATAACATGGAGTACAAGAGTTTCAATAGTATAAGTTTTGTGTGATGGATACTGTATAATGTTACATTATGGTGTATGGGCATAATCCTGTTTAATGTAAGTTTGTAAAGTTACTAAACAGAGATATGCAGTACAATCATAAAATTTATATTAGCTGCATACTGTTTCAATAGAATAAGTTCCATGTGATGGATATTTTCATGTTACAAAAGTGTAGGTAAAATCCTGTTTAATGTGAGATTGTGAAATTACTTTTGAGAAGGAAATGTGGCTTATTTATGAAGATAATGATGAATTTACTCATTGTCCTCATGATGGAGGCAACAAGTACCTCTGAAATGTTCGTAAACTTCTCTACCAGACTACATGGCACTACAACTCAGAAAACAGGCATCTTCATACTTGCTGCCATGAGAACCTCAAATCCTACTGTTGTGTTTACATAACTGGATTGAATAGAATGTGATGTAAAACATGAACCTAGAGAGATATGGTAGAGGAAGGGTAGCTTGGCCAATAAAATTTAAGGCATGGGCAAGAAATATGGGGGAAAGAAGGAAGGTAGAAAAAGCAGAGCAGAATGTATTCTGTGTATTTAGTACAGAAAAAAATCTCATATTTACAAGCACATCTAAGTGGGAAAATACTCTTTCGTAAGGCCACACATTTATAATACTACAATGCCAGAGTTATGCAAAGAATTCTATGGTTAAAATATAAATTTCAACACCCAAACACTTTGAAACCTAACTAAACATTTGATCACAAAGGAAGGTTATCTCGAACATTATGGATTGTAATTAGTATCACTGCAATCATAAACCTTACAAAGATTTGTGTAAAGTAGAAGGTTTTGGAAATGTGTGGTATACAGGGATGTTTCTCTTGCAGGAAAAAATTTATACAGCTAAATTTATTTAAAAATCTAAGTAGACACTAAGAACAATTAGTATCAATCTGCATAATCTTCAAATCAGTCATATGTAAAAGAAATTTCATGCTCTACAGTATCATATGCATGTAAAATAATTCTGAAGAAACACATTTACATCAAAAACAATAAATTAAACAATCTGCTGGCATGCTTACCTTCCAAAACATTTCTGACATGGTGGAAGGCCAATTACAGATATAGCACAACAGAGAAACACAAGAACATAATAATAATTGAATGTAAATTAATACTTAAAACAGTAACACAGTTATTGTAGAATGTGACTGACAGAAACAATTCTTTGTTACAAATATATCGCAGTCCCTTCAGACAACACTAGCAGATGACGCACATCTAGCAAGACAGTCTTTAATTGAAGGGCTGTAATTGAACACAGAAAAGTCTTTCTGATACCAAGTAGGAATTCGAAAACCAACAGCTTCCAGAAGGGAAGGTCAGTATTCAAAACATAGTAACTTGGACAAGGACCAGTGCATCAATTCAGTACCTCCTCTTACATAAAGTTTGGAGTTTTAAACACTCTAAAGCGTTAGCATAGGTGTAATGCACGTGAGGAAGGATACAATTATAGCAAAAGCTGCAAACATCTGCTGGATATGTTCCAGTTTTTTGGTATCAGTAGTTGTAATAAAATTCCACATGACTGAGGCATACTCAAGCTTTGATCTATCTATGGTAAAATGCAATATACAGGCAGTCAAGAGAAGCAAATAAAAAGTTTGAAGTGCGAACAAGACCCAGCAACTTAATATACTGTAAAAACACATAGTCAACATCATTGTGGAATCAAAGGTTAGACTCAATAAATATTCCCAATAGAATCAGTATATGTTACATACAATTGACAAAGTTTATAATCATAGTTGAATGTATTGGCTTTTCTTAAGAAGGAAATTACTCTGGTTTTACTAATATTGGATTTCATGAAGTTGGCAGTGCTCCAACTTTGTACAGAACCAATGTCAGATTGAAGTTTATTGCAGTCATCAGGAGATTTAATAACATGGAAGATTAAGATTTGATAATAATATACTTTAATAGGTGGGAGTTTCATTAAAAAATTGTTCTGTCTTGCTTCATAGCACCACACAGTTAAGAAAAAGTTTGGAAGAACAGTAAAGCTGTGTGGGATCATAATTTCTCCATGTTAGGAATGAAGAGAAGTCCAATTTGAAACATTCTTACTTGACCTCACAAAGCTACCATACGTACCAAGTCTTACTTGCATCATACACAAAAGATGAAAATACATTCCTCTTCCCACAATACAAAATGCTGTTTGTAGGCAAAAAGACATTCAAGCCGTTATTTTATTATTAATTCCAATTCCATGGGTTTTTCCATGGTTCTTCAGGTATCGCTCCTGAGCAAAAAGCTGTCCGCATACCAGACATTCAAAAGGCTTTTCATTAGTATGTGTAAGAACATGTCGTTTCAGTGATTTTCGCATTCGAAAACACTTCCCACAAGTTTGGCAACAATGTGGTTTCTCACCAGTATGAAGCAAAAGGTGCACATTCAATTGCTGTCTTCTACGGAAGGACTTATTACAATGTATACACTGATGTGGAAATACATCCATATGAAACAGATTGTGAACATAAAGAGATGCCTTTGTCTTAAATGCTTTCCCACACACATGACAGACACAAGGACGCTCTCCGGTGTGAACCCTCCTATGGTCCAGCATAGCACGTTTGTTGGCAAACTTACGTCCACATATATCACAAGGATGTTCCTTTATACCCTCATGCACATCCCTAACATGACGATTTAACAATGCAGATGTTCTAAACTGTTTGCCACATACATGGCAAGTACAAGGTTTCTCGCCACTATGGATACGTAGATGTCGCACATAGCTGTACCTTGTCATAAGGTACTTACAGCAATGTTCACATCTGTAAAGTGTCTTGCCTTCTATAACCACCTTTGCAGAAGCCAATGATACATTGTCAGTACTACTTTTCAAGGAAACAATTTTATCCACATCTTCGCTGGAATGCCGCTCTGCATGTCTCTTTAAATCGAACCTCCTGGTAAATGATTTAGAACATACACTGCATGAAAAGTTTTGACTTGTGTGTATATCAAATGTACTTGTTTTCCCATCTGAATTCTCCAAATGTGCATCATCACCTGAGCATGAGTATGCATTTCCGTCTACAAATGCTGGTCCCATGTCAGACAGTCTGTCATCAGAATATAGATACTGCTTCTTGCTGTGCGTTATCAAATGCCTATGCAAATAATATTTTCTTGTCAGCATTTTACTGCAAATATTACACAGTAAATCAGTTTTTCTTTCATTATTAAAAACAAATTCTGTAACTGCAACCTTGCTTCCATGAATACTATCATCATTTGCTTCTAGTAGAGTACTAACTGGGCCATTACCTGAAGACAAGCTGCCTGATGGAATATCGTCTCCAGAACCAATATTTGAAAGTGTTTGAAAAAATTCACCATCAACCTGATCTGGCTTCCTGGAATGTTTTCTCAAAGGTCTGCGCAAATCAAATGTTCCTCTAAGTACTCTACCACAAACATGACATGGATAACCTTGAATGATGTCAGTCTCTGACAATTCAGAACTTCTGTCACCAGACTGAGCACCAGAAACCATTTTTTTAATGCTGCCTGCTGTATAATAATTTACATCTGAGGACACAAACGAACCCAATTTTTTAGCATGCATTTTCAAATGCCTAAGTAAATCATGCTTTCTTGTAAGTTTTCTACCACAGACATAACACGAGAAACTTTTATTCTTCCCACATATTACTGAATCGTTAGTCTTTTCATTGCTTGTACCAAGTGAATTTTCATAGTTCCTACGTATTTCAACTAAACAAGATTTAAGATGTTCACTGTCAGGAAATTCCTGAACATTTTCAGTAGCCAAGCCACTGTCAGAAGTACCATACAAATCACCAGCAAGACTTTCTACATTTTTAAAAACAAAATCCTGTAATTTGTGTTTTTCAACGTGTCTGCAAGCATCAGACTTCCTCTTAAAGAATCTTCCACACACACTGCATGGAAACTGCTGATTTGCTACAGCAGAATGTTTTACTTTTCCCAATCTAGATTTCCCAAAACTACGGCCATTATGACCTTCATACATACAATCCTTAATCTCACAGACATCTGATTTACATTCCAACTCTGACCCAGACACACATCCTGCAGGAATATTCAAACTGGCCAACTCCTGCGGATGTACTGTAGAGATATGAATTATCAACTCAGCTTTCTTAGCAGATATATGTCCACAATAATCACAAGTTAACCATGCATCCTTTGAATCAGTACATTCATTCTTAACGAGACCATTGTCTGTCAAAGCATCAGCGGTATTCCTGGGCCCGGCCATGTTCATTTCATTTTGTTCTTGGAAAGTTTTGAATGGAGTCTGAGGAGGCTGTTGACACCTGCAAGACAAAGTGTGCAGAGTGATTACAGCTTCTCATGCCACAAGTTTCAGGTTTAATTAAAGTTGCAAATGAATTGGACTTCCAGGAAACAAACACCAGAAATGCTACACGCTGGATATTGTTCAGACAAAAGACCAAATGGATGATGTAATATTTTCATATGAAGTCTATATTAGTGCACTTCTTACTTCATTTAGTGACACTGCCTCAGTTGCATAGGTTATATAGTGTTGAATTCGAGGATGATTGTGGATGAAGAACAGGGAGAGATGTGGAAGAAAGATGTCTTATCCTAACATCCGTTTGCAGAGGCTGAGTAGAACCATGAAAAATATCAGAGAAGTTGGTGTTAAGAACACCAATTAACCCCCCCACCCACCCACACGATACATAACATGAGCACAAACCACTCAACTATTGACAGTTTCATTTCATTATCAAGCTCTACAGAGAGAATTGATCACTGGTTCTTCAACACAGTCCTTACATTTTATATCCAATATCAATGCCAATGGGAAATTACTGAACGCAACACCAAGGGAACAAAATCACATTTGGATAGGATGTTCAAAAACCCATTTCATTCATTATATTTACTGAAGAAACAGAATTAACAGTAAATCATACACACAAAAACATGGGACTGCCAAATAAACTAAGTCTTGAAGATGACTGTCTTCTGGGTTGTTGCACTGTGTAGTTTGGTACAACTTGACCAATGGTGAAGAGCCATTTGCTGCCTCCATCATCATTCATCAGCCTGATGATGGAGGCAGCAACTTCTACCAGTCATTTTCATACTTGCCACTGAGAAAACATCAGACAAAAATAAGTCTTACTGGTCACCAGGATGGTGAGCTTTCATGTGTCTTTTCAGGTATCGTTCCTGCTTGAATCCCAAACCACAAGCAGAACAAACAAATGGCTTATCATCTGAATGCAACATCTTGTGTCTAGTCATTTCATTTCTTGCCCTAAAACCACGTCCACAAATATCACAAATATGCGGTTTTTCACCTGTGTGTGTCACTAAGTGTTTCACCATCTCATGCTGATTCCTAAACAATTTACCACAGTACGAACATGCGAAAGGAAACACATCTGTGTGAATTTTATTATGTTTATACAATGTAGCCTTTGTCATAAATGATTTTCCACAAGTACTACACACATAAGGACGTTCTCCTGTGTGGATACGGCGATGATCTTCCATAGCAAGTTTAGCTGCAAAGCTACGACCACATATATCACAGCTGTGGTTTTTTATGCCTGCATGAACGTGCTTCAGGTGATAATATAATCCTGCCTGAGAGAAGCTCTTACTACAAATGTGACAGGTAAATGGTTTCTCGCCTGTATGTACAACTTGGTGAGACTTCAAAGTGCTTTTGCAACTAAAGTTCTTCCCACACAATTCACACTGAAAGATTGGTTCATCTTTTGGTGGCACATCACTCTGAGGTCTGTGTGTTCTTTTATGTCTGTTCAAATGATATGTCCTATTGAATATTCTGCCACATATATCACAAGGAAAATCCTTCTTTGTGGATTTGCTGCCAGTTCTCTTTGTTAATTTAACAACCTTAAGCTTCTTCAATCTAGTCCTTGCCTCTTTCTTCCTGCCACAACTACCACTGCTATGATCATCAGGAGACTCATAATGTGATGCTTCAAACCCTAAGTCTAAACTGTCTGAATCATACACGTTTGGTTCCTCTGCCTTATTTTGTTCATGACCTTTCATGTGAATCTCCATAGCATATTTGTTCCCTCTGATTTTCTCATCACAAATGTCACAATGATACAACTCATCTGAATGATGCTTTTCATCTGTCTTGGATGTGTGTAATTCATCTGAGTTGTAATCTTCAGACTTAATCCAATCAAAAGATTCAGATACAGTAGAAATGGTGACCATGGGCTCGTACATGCTCTTCAGTGCACTTTGTGCCAGTTGGAACTCCCTAAACGTTGTCAGAGTAGGCTGTTGGCACCTGCAAGACAAAGTGTGCAGAGTGATTACAGCTTCTCATGCCACAAGTTTCAGGTCTAATTCGAGTTGCAAATGAATTGTACTTCCCGGACACAGCTTCTCATGCCACAAGTTTCAGGTTTAATTAAAGTTGCAAATGAATTGGACTTCCAGGAAACAAACACCAGAAATGCTACACGCTGGATATTGTTCAGACAAAAGACCAAATGGATGATGTAATATTTTCATATGAAGTCTATATTAGTGCACTTCTTACTTCATTTAGTGACACTGCCTCAGTTGCATAGGTTATATAGTGTTGAATTCGAGGATGATTGTGGATGAAGAACAGGGAGAGATGTGGAAGAAAGATGTCTTATCCTAACATCCGTTTGCAGAGGCTGAGTAGAACCATGAAAAATATCAGAGAAGTTGGTGTTAAGAACACCAATTAACCCCCCCACCCACCCACACGAACCATGAAAAATATCAGGGAAGTTGGTGTTAAGTACACCAATCACTCCCCAGATACATAACATGAGCACAAACCACTCAACTTTGACTGTTTCATTTCATTATCAAGCTCTAAAGAGAGAATTAATCACTGGTACTTCAACACAGTCCTTACATTTTATATCCAACAGGCACAGAGTGTTTCATATTACTGATGTACAGTCACTTCTATTAGACATATCCCCATAAACATACCGCAACAAAAGGAAACGACTTCTCTTTGATCTACGTAGTGAAAGACTGATGGAACAGCAGTAACTGAAGAGTCCCTCACAACATTCAACTCCTTTGTACCTTGTCACAACACATCAACACTGTTATTAACAACGAATATAACACAGTAGATCCTACTTATCAAGCACTAACGTTAATCTTTATCATTTACAAATAATTACGATCAAGCTATAATTTGCAGATATATAACCAATTCACAGAAAAACAAAAACCACAACAATCTTCTCTAACTCCTCTGGTTGTTCACACTTGTTTACTCATTGCATTTTATTCTTCTCTCAATTAACTCCATGGAGCAGAGCCCATTCTAAGAAACTGATAGCCAATCAGTTTAGAAAATGCCTAACTTTTATGAAACAAAAACGTTTATTACCAAATTCACAAGAGTCTGTTACCACTCTCTATCCACAGTCAGAAAAATCCACCTATTAACTGTACAAGCTTCATTTCTAAATACCTTTCACTTTTTATAGCAGCCACAAAAAAGTTAAAAAAATAAAAATAACAAGCATGAAACATATTTGTGATTAAAGAGTGCTGCCAAAGAATAATTTGTTGCTTTCACAAGAAAGAGTACAAAATTCTGTTAGCTGTTCATAAATATTTCAGCAGACTAGTAGTATAGATATGATTCGCAATGTGCAAAACATTAGAAATTTAGAAATAACACCTGTGCCATGAACATAAATTCTTATCATGATTAAATAACATTCCTTTAAATATGAATGGGTATAAGCCATTGCAACAAAATATTAAAGCTCTTCAAATCCATCATGCATTTACACATGCAGAAAATCATTTCAAACACCAGTAAAGATGGATTCCCATACAAACATAAAGTCTTGCCTCCATTTAGTTTCTTGTGCACCAGCTGGTGTTGTCTGACAGCTCTAAAGTGCCTCTTTCCTAGTCAACGGTTCACTTTGCATAGACGCAAATGAATATGCTCAGCCAATATCATCTATAGTGTGCTTGGTTCCTTCTTAAATGAAGACAGTCCTTGAACTGGTGAACAAACTTTCCATAACTTTTGATACGCAAATGTTCATTATTGTATTCACCAGAGTAAAAATTCAGACCCTGCCGAGTCACTTCCATTCATTTCATGCCTATTTTTCTTCAAGATCCATTTAATTGTATCCAATGTCTTCCAAGTGGTATCTTTCTTCCAGGTTTTCTAAGTAACATTTTGTATGTATTGCTCACCCCCTTCTAATCCACAATGATTAGATAAATCTAATAATAATTGCTGAAAAATACAAATTATGAAGCTCCTCATTATGTAGTTTCTTTAATCCTCTACCTTTAACATTTCATAATTCAAATTTATGAGCACAACTTACAACAGGGGTGGCCAACCCAAATGATCTTTCGGGCCACTTTGGAAATGCATCATAACTCCGCGGGCCACATATAAAATTATATATCCCCGTATTAGATTTAGATACACTATAGACATTTTTTTGGAGTGAAAAATTGAAACATAATGAGTTATTATTATTGTGTTTACTATTATTCTTACATGTAAACATAGATAATATAATAATAATGATACTAAGCGTACATTGTAAAGAAATATATAGCACTAAAAATTAAATATAGAAAATATATAAATATGAATGAAATAAAAATAATGAAATGAATATATGGATGCACAAATAATGTTTTTTTTAATACATTGGTTTTCACTACTTTGGCCATTATAAAATAAATATATTTTGTAAAAGTGTGATGAATCTCGCGGGCCGGAAAAATGTTCAAGGCGGGCCACATGCGGCCCGCGGGTTGGCCACCCCTAACTTACAATTTTGTAGTCTGTAACAAAGACGTGTTCATTGTATAATACACCTGCGTAACATAAAACTGAGAGCCTGAAATACTGCAACCAACAAACAGAGTACTATGATCATTTTCTCCAAAATTAAGCCACTTTTCTCCACCATTCACACATTCCATATGCACAGTATCTGTATGTCCAACAATGTCTTGCAAAATACGCAGACAATAACTTCAACTATCATTTCCTAAAGAACAAGTCAGCAATAAAAATTCCATTTTTGTTTTCACATCTGCCATAATTTTAATTTTATTCAGTATGATACACAAGCAAGACTGCTGCTTTCAGAGCACGTCATCAATTGCATAGTCAATGTCAAAATAATTTCATGTCAGTAAGAATATTAAAAATTTGAGGAAATCCTAGATATTTAAAGAAGAGATGATGGTAAATATTGGTTACAACAAACACCATTAAGCAGTATTATGAATATAATAAGGGTGAAAAGGAGGAAGTCTAATGGTGTAATTCTGAGAACATGGTGATGAAACTTCAGGTTCCATAAAATTAGACAATTTCTTGATGAAATTAAATAATGCCACCTACTCAAGAAAGGTTCTAAATTACGGTATTAGTTATTAATGCCTTTCCAGCCTTCTGTTTACAATACAAATTTGTGGCTATTCATTCTTGGGCACTTTTACTCAGACTATCCTATAATTTCACATCATCCTTCATAATTTTTTTTTAAAAAAAACTGCCCCCACAATAATTGTAAGTTCTAATTTTCTCTTTCTTTTAGAAAGAAGTATAATTTCTACTGTCAGGATAATGATGAGTTCTAAGTAATACTAAATTAATACTGAAATCATTTATTTTAATGATACTGAAAAACAATGTCAGAAAATTAATACAAAATATCTCAATACATCGACATCATACATAAAAAAGGAAATCAGAATTGAACTACATACACTTGAATATCCTCTAGCTCAAATTGGTCTAAAATTATAATGTTCAAGGGAGAAGAGAAGTGGTCAGCTCCAAATTACATGGGAGATCAAAAGACAAATAGAGAAGAGCCCTTTACACACTTCTCTGTTATCACTCTTATCCTTTTCCCAGATACCTTCGTATTAAGAATCACCTTGCAATCATTTTATGAGGCTTCACTATTAGAGGTACAAAGCGAACATTCATAAGTGCTTACCAGGAATATACACACTGCAGCAAATATGAAAGGGATCTCTGTTTTCAATCATAAATCTCTGTACCAAAATAGGCTGAACCTCGCAAATTATTTTAAAAAAATTAATTGAATAAAAATTTACTTGGATTTTTATTCTGGGACTTTCACTTTTTAATTTGTCCGGAGATAGGGATTAGCTCTATCTAGTGGGCCCAACTGAGTAGGAACCTGAAGACGGAGATAGAGCCCCATCTCCGAAACGTCGTTTTACGTTTTTTATGTTTTATTACTAGACGATGGATAATATCCAAGTAAATTTTTATTCAATTGACTCTTCACCATCGTCAAGAAGTTTTAGATTTAAAAAAATTAAAATCACAATAAAAATAATACACTTTAAATTGACTCTGTGACCAAGTCACTCAAAGTGGCAAGTCATGGGCTTGGGAGGAAAAAATGTTACAAAGAAAGTAATGGAAAGGCTTAAGAACAGTGGTGACTGGCTTTCCTGGTTATAATTTCAGGAATACCTAACACAACACATGACTAAAGAGTATTATCTCAAGATTTTCAATACAAATAAAAGAGAGACAGAAACAAAAGCCAGAAACTACCACCACTAATTAGGTTTTTGTAATATTCCACTGTTCTCCATACTTGGCTAAGATACTGATGGGATGTTATTTTTATCAAAATATTTACAGAATAACTGCTGCATTTTATTTATACCATTGTGGAAACTAAATTTACTTCAAGCATCATAGTATATCACTAGACAGTAACCAGTTATCAATCTGCCAATGGGAAATTACTGAAGGCAACACCAAGGGAACAAAATCACATTTGGATAGGATGTTCAAAAACCCATTTCATTCATTATATTTACTGAAGAAACAGAATTAACAGCAAATCATACACACAAAAACATGGGACTGCCAAATAAAATAAGTCTTGAAGATGACTGTCTTCTGGGTTGTTGCACTGTGTAGTTTGGTACAACTTGACCAATGGTGAAGAGCCATTTGCTGCCTCCATCATCATTCATCAGCCTGATGATGGAGGCAGCAACTTCTACCAGTCATTTTCATACTTGCCACTGAGAAAACATCAGACAAAAATAAGTCTTACTGGTCACCAGGATGGTGAGCTTTCATGTGTCTTTTCAGGTATCGTTCCTGCTTGAATCCCAAACCACAAGCAGAACAAACAAATGGCTTATCATCTGAATGCAACATCTTGTGTCTAGTCATTTCATTTCTTGCCCTAAAACCACGTCCACAAATATCACAAATATGCGGTTTTTCACCTGTGTGTGTCACTAAGTGTTTCACCATCTCATGCTGATTCCTAAACAATTTACCACAGTACGAACATGCGAAAGGAAACACATCTGTGTGAATTTTATTATGTTTATACAATGTAGCCTTTGTCATAAATGATTTTCCACAAGTACTACACACATAAGGACGTTCTCCTGTGTGGATACGGCGATGATCTTCCATAGCAAGTTTAGCTGCAAAGCTACGACCACATATATCACAGCTGTGGTTTTTTATGCCTGCATGAACGTGCTTCAGGTGGTAATATAATCCTGTCTGAGAGAAGCTCTTACCACAAATGTGACAAGTAAATGGTTTCTCGCCTGTATGTACAACTTGGTGAGACTTCAAAGTGCTTTTGCAACTAAAGTTCTTCCCACACAATTCACACTGAAAGATTGGTTCATCTTTTGGTGGCACATCACTCTGAGGTCTGTGTGTTCTTTTATGTCTGTTCAAATGATATGTCCTATTGAATATTCTGCCACATATATCACAAGGAAAATCCTTCTTTGTGGATTTGCTGCCAGTTCTCTTTGTTAATTTAACAACCTTAAGCTTCTTCAATCTAGTCCTTGCCTCTTTCTTCCTGCCACAACTACCACTGCTATGATCATCAGGAGACTCATAATGTGATGCTTCAAACCCTAAGTCTAAACTGTCTGAATCATACACGTTTGGTTCCTCTGCCTTATTTTGTTCATGACCTTTCATGTGAATCTCCATAGCATATTTGTTCCCTCTGATTTTCTCATCACAAATGTCACAATGATACAACTCATCTGAATGATGCTTTTCATCTGTCTTGGATGTGTGTAATTCATCTGAGTTGTAATCTTCAGACTTAATCCAATCAAAAGATTCAGATACAGTAGAAATGGTGACCATGGGCTCGTACATGCTCTTCAGTGCACTTTGTGCCAGTTGGAACTCCCTAAACGTTGTCAGAGTAGGCTGTTGGCACCTGCAAGACAAAGTGTGCAGAGTGATTACAGCTGCCGATGATCGTATCTTGGTAGCCCACATCACCATTCATACGCAGACCACACCATAACACTTAGTACCAACAGCCTGCTATAATTGGCATCATCCTTTATTCAATACATCATTGTCTACAATACCTTCACTTTGCAACACTACTTACAATTTACAGGATGACACTGCAAAAAAAACTTACAGGAAATATGATTTTTATAACATGTCAGTAGATATTCATTCATACAATCATCCAATACATTACCAATAAAAAATTATCATTCATCATGCACAGCAGCCATACTGCTGTTAAACAATGCTACTTATTCAGAGGAAGTTTATGTAAATAGAAAATAGTAAGATAAGCAATCTTATTCATACATCCTATGTAGCACCTGAAAAAACAATACTATAATTCCTAGGCGTAGGTAAATCGAGATTTACAACTTTATTTATACTATTACAAGTGCAACCATGATTACGGAAGAAACTAATTTGTATTTTCTATCCCCTCTGTGTGCACTTCTTTACTAGCTTCCAGCTGAGAGACTTTGTGTTTTTTCATGTTATGGTTCTTCAAGTACCTTTCTTGCCTAAAACTAAGATGACACATGGCACACTTGAATGCTTTGTAATCTGAATGAACCAATTTGTGTCTGATCATGGCATTGTGATATCGGAAACGCTTTCCACATATGTCACATGCGTGGGGACGTTCACCTGTATGAATCATCATGTGCTTTGTGCACACATATTGCCGCCTGAACGACTTGCCACAATGAGTGCACTTATGTGGGAATAAATCTGTATGTGACCTCTTATGTGTGTGAAATGTTGCACGCGTCTTAAATCTCTTGCCACATAGATGGCATACTAAACGACGTTCTCCTGTATGAACAGTCACATGATCATTTCTTGTGCGAGTGTTGGCAAACTTTCTTCCACATATTGGGCAAGCATGCTCTTTGACACGTTCATGAACCTCTCTTACATGCCGTTGAATCTGGGGTTCAGCTCGGAACTGTTTGCCACAAACATGACAAGTAAAAGGTTTTTCACCTGTATGTATACGCATATGTCTAACATACGTGCACCTACGGAATAGATTCTTACTGCAGACTTGACAGTGGAAATAAATCTTCCCATCAACTTTAATTTTTGCATGTGATACAGTGTCATCAGTTCTGTTATCTTCCCTTTTACTATTATTTCTGGTATCAGATGATATATCTTTTGTTTTGACCAAAGTGCTGTTCCTACTGTCACCCAGATGTCTCTCACTTATTTTTCCATCATCTTGCTGAAAATTATGTACATTTTTAACGTGTCTTTTCATATCAGCCTTCCTGGTAAACATCCTTCCACATATCCTACAGGTTATTTCTTTATTTGTAACCATGGATATCCTTGCAAAGTCTGATTCTATGTTCTCACCAACTCCCACAATATCATTACAGTTTTCTCTAACAAAGTGTAAATGTTCACTTTGTCTTACGGCATCAGATTTCCTTCTAAAAGATTTCACACACTTACTAAATGTTAATTTTGATGACAAGTTAGGATCTATATCAGAATTTGATTCTGATGCCCGCCATAATATTTCACTTCCCCTAGAGCTCTCAGACCTGTCTTTTAACACTCCAAACAAATGCATGCTCTTCCTATGTCTCTCCACATCAATCTTTGTTGTAAAAACTTCACCACATGTACTGCATGAAAATTTGTCATTCATCTTTTGTAAACAACTTTCCAACTCCCTATTCAAATTTTGACCACTTCCATTATCCAAGATTTCAGACATGCCGATCACTTCATGGTCATGCCTCATGTGTTTGATCATTTCCGCTTTACTCATGAATACACTACAACAAGTTGCACAAGGAAAACTAGCACATTTTGTTCTCATACGATAGTCACTTCTCTCTGCAAACACAACTGCAGACCTGGATTCTGACATAAATATTGTTTTAAATTGGTCTCTGTGGTTCTCCATATGTTTGATGAACTGAGTTTTATTTTCACAGAATATTCCATCACAAATTTCACAGTGAAGTACTCTAATGGAATGCCTCATTGACAGATGAGTTGCTAATTGACTTCTTACACTGAAAATATATCCACAAAAGTTGCATAATCCAGCTGTCTCAATCCAATTTTGCTGAAGCTTATTTAACTGAACATAAGTTTTAACATCTCTCGTGTTGTTCTGGTGATAAATGTTTTGCAATGCACTCTGGCATGCCTCATGGTAAGCTCTGAATGATGCCAAAGGAGCTGGTTGATACCTGCAAGACAAAGTGTGTGAAGAGATTACTGCTAATGGCATGCAGTTCGAAGAGAATCCAACTACTTGTATTTGTGCTAACAAGTAGGAAGAATTTACTGTAAACAGGTACAAATGAACAGTAACAAACAAAGACCACAGTATTTACAGTAGTTGACAAATTTACTCACTGAAATGGATACTGTCCTCATGTCTGTGGGGATTGAAGACATTTAAATGTCAGGGAAAACATTTGCAATAATTATGCCCAGAAAATTATTTAATTTTAAAATAAACTATTAAAAAGAACTTGAACCATTAAAAAGATTCAAGTAATTTGTGCGCCATGGGCTCTATATAAATATCAAAACTTTTGTTATTACAACCTCCAAGAGAACTCTGAAGATATCTATATATGTAATGCCTTTTTTATTACATTTATTAAATTAATTATGATAAGATTCAGCAACATAAAATTTCCTAATTTTCATTTACAGGACTATACAATATTTCTCTTTCACTTACACTACGAAAACTCTTTTAACATATATCATAACAAAGTCCTTCAACCCAGTCTCATTACCAAATGTGAAATGCAAAGTTCATATTTTGGTATTCTGCATTGTAGCAACATGTATAGTCTTGTAGTTAGTTACAAACATTTTGAACATGTCTCCACCTTCAGGGCACCGCGTACAAGACTATATGATGTCAAAACCCAGATCATAATCATCAACATTTTGGATGAGCATGCTACCTCCATATTCAGTGTAACACCCTCAAGAATACGTGATGTTACAACCAAGATAAACACAATCTGAACTCTAACTGCTATAAAAAACCTCACATATAATATGATATTCTTCAAATTACAATTATATGACACCTGTGTAGCATCTTAATACTACAAACTAATATACTTCTCTCATGAAGAATAACTGACTTATGATAAGTGAAGAGGTAATTCCTCAAGTCCTTCATTTCAGCCACATTTTTTATACTGTTTCCTTCCTGTAAGAATAATTATAGTGGAACATGCCTGGCATGTCATTTCAAAATTCCATATGGTTGACAAATTACAAAGACAGCCAACTGCCCTAATTCACATAGCCCTAGATCCCAAGGTTCAAGGTTTTCCACAAAACTCTGAAAAGGGCTGTAACTGTCGTTACAGTACCACCTCATCTGCAATTACCACAATTAAAACTGAGAATGTAATGAAGAAATATGAGCTGGAAACATTTTGTGGCATCAAATCAAAGGTAAGATTGGTCATAAAAGAATTTACATCTATATGGGAGCAGGTCATCATATGAGAGAAATGAGCATTTATAACAGAGCAGAAAATCATAATGGAGAAACTGGATGTTTATATGAAAGCAAGTAATCATAATGGGGAAAATTAGTGTTTATACAGCAACATCATACACTGGTAAAACAGTGTTTATGTGGGAGATTACTGGGCTGAAAACTGAGTGTTCAAATGCAAGTTCATGTGGGGTGAACTTCTCCCAAAATTATAACATGAAATATCTCATAAAAATAACATGTTACACTACAAAGACAGAAAATAAATTTCTCTATATGAAAACATTAAAAGCCAATCATTAAATTCAGAAACTGAACACAAAATAAAAAATATTTCATAAAACAAAAATTTAATTCTGAATCTGATGCACATTTTGTCTGCAGTTTATGATATAAATGCTTCAAAGGAAAAGCTGAAGACTAAATCAATGCAACATTATTATAAAGGATTATGAACTCAGCATACATATGGACAAGACATACACCAAAAAGTTTCCAAGCACATACGTGAAGAAAGAGTTGACAAACTGGTTAAAAGAGAAACAAAAGCTGATTCAAAGCAAAGGATATATAATTTTTTGTAGTACAGATGGAGCAGGAAAAGATTTAAAAATAAAATCCTTAGGCAATAACTCTTAAAGACAACTGATTGAACACAGACATCACAAAACGCACTAAAATAAATTTTAAAGGAAATGTATGGTATGACCCACAACAAGATGGTTTACTGAAATGTTGGTAAATATTGAGAGGAAAGGGAAGAGCTGGTGAGAAATAAAGGAGGAGAGATAGGAAGATACAAGATATTTGAGATTTTTCATACTTTTGACAGTATAAAACAGAAACAATGTCTGAAGAAATAAATAATTACAAGAACACTAACATTCATTACCATTAAAAAAGTTAATAAAACCAACGTTTATTTTGATTCGATGTACACTGCTCAAATTGACATTATCATTATCAACCAGAATGCCTAATGTACCCATGCTCTCAAAATCTGTATCTTGCCAATAGCTTATATTGTGAGTCACCCACAATGGTAAATGTTAATAACTCTCCTAAATCAGAAAATAGCTTCAACACACCTTTTTGGTTTATTGAACAAGTAGCATGAGTTTTAAAATTATTTAGTATCAATGAGAAATGACAGGAACAGTGAAATGGGGACGCTAACAAAATAAAAAGTTGTCATATTCTTCAAGATACTACTTGG